GGGGTGTCAAGGTGGCCCCGAGTGACCCGGATGACGCCGCCTATGACAGGGCGGCGAGGGAGCTGGTGTTTGAGGCCAAGGGTCAAGCGGGGGAGCGCACACTGACACCCGGTGCGCGGGGGCGCGGAGACGCGTGGGCGCACAGGCGTGGGGGGGTAGGGGCGCAGGGACGCCAGGAGAGGCAGCCCGGGGCGCGTGGGGGCTGTGGACCCGGGGCGGCAGGGGCCCGGCCTGGCTGCAGGCTGATTGGGTTATAGACATGGCAGGCGGTGGCTGTGGCTGACGGGGGATGCGCACAGCCCCGCACACCTGGGGGCCCTGCAACCCTGGGGTTAATGGCAGCGCGCGCTCACCTTTCATCCCGACCTCCACACGCCGTGCTTAATCAGACCTCCAATGTCGACATTTTCAAGCAATAATCCCCTCAACACACACACACACTTACACACTTACACACACACACACACACACAAATGTCTGCCCCCCAGAGGAGCTCCAGGAGCGGGAGCGCCTGCGGCTGGAGGCACTGGAGAAGCAGCGCGTCAAGCGCATGCGCGCAGACGCGGGCAGCGGCGACGACGAGGACGGCGGCGGCGCGGAGGGCGGCGGCTTCGCGGCGCGACGCAGGAAGCTGCAGCACCGCTCAGGTGTGTGAGGGGTCGGGGAGGGGGCGTTGGTTTTGTCACTGGTGGGCGGCTGTGTGCCCTGGCCGACGTGGAGCGCAGGTCCCCAGTTTCGCCGGCCGCAACACGCCGCAGCCGCTCGGGTCCTTGCCCTGGTAGAGGCACCCACACTCGGCGATTCGCTCTTGTTCTTCCCGGCTTCATCCCAGCCCTTGTTTCCCCTGCTCGACCACACAAAGCACACACACACACACACATACACACACACCACTCACAACACACACACGCATTCACAACACACACACACGCACGCACTGACATGCACGCATACCCTTCTGTGAACCACCCTTGGCTGACTCATCACGCCGCCCCCGCCGTTCTTGCCAGGCGATGCCCTAGACGACGACTTTGCGTCCTCCGGGGACGACGAGGACGCTGACGAGGACGCTGACGAGGACGAGGAGGGGGGCGACGACGAGAACGGCGGTGACCCGCTGCTGTCTGCGCTCGACGCGCGCCGCCGCGAGCGCGCCGCCGGCGGCCACCCGCTGCAGGCCGCGTTCAGGGAGCAGGCGGCGCGGCTCGCGGCAAAGTACGGGGTTGAGGTGGAGGGCGCCGAGGACGGCAGCGGCAGCGGCAGCGAAGAGGACGAGGACGAGGAGGGGGAGGGGCAAGAGGGCGGCAGCGGCAGCAAAGATGAGGAGGAGGAGGGGGAGGAGGCGGGCGGCAGCGGCAGCAGCGAGGGCGACGGCAGTGAGGAGGAGGGGGAGGAGGGACGCAGCGGCAGCGAGGAAGAGGAAGAGGACGAAGAGAGCGGGGCGGCCGCGGCCGCGGCCGCGGCCGACGAGGCGCGCCGGGAGTCGGGCAAGGCCGCGGGCTCGTCGAGCGTCAAGCCGGCGGGGGGCAAGGGCCGTGCGGCGGGGGCGGCGGCGGCGGCCGTGGAGGGTCCTCTTGACCTGCCGTTCACGATCCCCGTGCCGCAGCGCTACGAGCAGTTTGCGGCACTGGTGGCGGGGCGGCCCGCGGGGGAGCTGGCGCTGGCTATATCGCGCATCCGGGCGTTCAACGCGGCGGCGCTGGCGACGGACAACAAGCGGCAGCTGCAGGTGAGGG